ATATATATATATATATATATATATATATATATATATATATATACTCAATTCAGATACAAGCAAATTTTAGTCTTATTCGTGCCTTAATATTTGAACGCCATGTCGATTTTCTAGTACTATTTTTGTCAATGATACATCTTTCATATGTTTATATATGAACGGATTTATCCAATTTTGAATACAAAATATGTGTTTTCATAACTAATTATTTCACTTATACCTTTCAAGATTATGATTCATGACTTGGGTAGGTGTAATTAGTAAACATTTGATATATATTTATCGAGCCATTTTGTCCTAATAAAATTAATGTGAAATACAATAAGGAAATTTAAACAAAAACATATGAGTTTTTGGCAAAAAATCGTCTTTAAACTATAATCTAAACTTAAAGTACATTCTTAAAGTATCGTTCTTAGCAGAAAACATCTTTTAAGTATTTAAAAGTGAACAATTTTCATCCTTTTACTTGAATTTATCAAAAAACTAACAGATTCCACAAAAATCAAGTCATCACTTCCTAATTATTATTCTTAGATACGCTAAAAATATTATCGTGAACTTTTTCGATATCTAGTTTAGAATTATGCAAATTCTTTTAAATTGACATTTTTTTCATTTATTTTTCATGTAATTTGATACTAAAATTGTTACTGGTTTAAATATGTTTCTTCTTAATTGAATATGCTAGAAGGGCGTTTGTTAGAGACTTCTGCTTCTAATAATGTAGAATGAAACTCAAATGGGAGATATAATCAATATTTTAATTACTTCAATATCAGATTGACCCAAAAATTATTGATCTAATAGAGTTTTACTATGATAAAAGTAAAGATAATTATGTTCCATCTTCTTCTTTTACTAAATAAGAAAAAGCAATCATGTACCTTGACACTTTCCAATCATTTTTTATTTCCGTAAGTAATAATGTCTAAGATTTTAAATATTTTTTTAGAAACTTTTTGTAGCAAGTAATGAAAAATTATTGTTAATAATAACGTAAACTATTCATATTTTTGTAGAATCCCTTAGCCTTGACCATATCTAACCAAAGAGTGAAAATTATCTACTTTTAAATACTTTAAAAATATTATCGACTAAAAATAATACTTTAAATATAATTTAACCTTGGAGTATAGTTAAAAGAATATTTTTGACAAACAAAAACTCAAAAACATATACTATAAACACAAAAATTTATCACATAACTTTATTATAAATTCCATACCAAATTATCTCATCTTTGCAAACCCTAACACGTAATGTTCCCAAATCTACTTCTCTAAACAACCCTATTTCCTTAACACGTATTGGTGTAATGGTGTCAAATCCAACTTCTAACTAACACGTTTCAGTTTTTAAATAAAAAATAGAAGAAGAAAGTAACAAGTTTAAAAATAAAAATTCCCCATTTTAAGCCTTGATTTCGGTCTTAATTATCAACGAGTCCATTTCTAGATATATATATATATATATATCTTGAGAAATATTTTCCAGTCCTACCTTATTTTATTCAT